AGAATAACAATTGAAAACAATAAAGTCAGCTACCCCAAGATATGGTCATGTACTTACATCAGTGAACTAAATATTTCACCAGCGCTAATATGATAAACAGTTTTCTTTCATTTTATTGTAGCATCTCTATTGCATTTCAATAAAAAAAACTAATAAGGTTAGGGACAAAATAATTATTACTTCATCATTTTCCCAAAGTTGTAAACTTACATTTTCATATCAAGTTATTTAATTAATTGACTGAAAGACAAGAGTCAACATTTTCTGCAAAAACACAATTATAGCTTAATTTCCTGTTTGCATAGATTAAAATAATAACACGAGAAATAGTGAAACCATTTTGGTACTACACAATTCACAACCGAATTTGTTGACTGATTTACTGTAAAGGTTGTTAACTGCTAAGAAAAAAACACTCCTCAAGTTGAAAGCATAACCAGTTTGATGCATTTACGCTTTGTAAGCTGGAACATCTTAATCTTAAGTCTTTCAGTCCGAATAATTTGTTCGCATATTTGAATGAATGAATGAAGTTTATTTCACTATAAACATATATACATATAACAATATTCAAATAAATGTGATATATAAACAGATGAGTAAATAAAATTAAGTAAATAAGTCTATAATTTGAATTTTAGATATATATATTTTTAGATATTTATATAAATTGTTTATAGTGAGGATCATGAAAATAGTTCCCTGGAACTAGTCTAGTCCATGACCTTATAAAGAATGAACAAAATAAACAATAAATAATAATTTGTTGATTAATGATTTGAAATGGTTGATGCCTTCTCAGCAAAATTAAGGATTAGCATTATTTTGATTTTGTTCCAGGCTTGTCGTTAGACCTCTTTGCTATCTAAGTCTTTTGATGTTTTGAGAACGTGATCATTTTTACTTTTAAATTGCCACACTCGCTACAAACCACTGTGTATGATGTGGGACCCATGCAACTTGTACAAAACATTGTTTGTTTACACCAAATGTTACCGTTAACAAATATTTATAACAAAAAAATATCTCAGTGAGAGGGTTCAATATCAGAAATCCAATTACTAATTTTTTTATCCAAATTACCCTCTCAATGGGCTTCAAATGGTCACAGCAATTTAGGCAGTTTTTTTCACGATATTAAAATGTATAATTAGTCCCCGTTCGGACGAAGTCCGAAAACGGGGACTTATAATTCGGTCTCCGTCCGTCCGTGTGTCCATGCGTCCGTGCGTCCGTCCGGAGTCATATCTCAGAATCCCTTGGACCGATTCTGTTCATTCTTTGCATGTGCCTAGTACTTTATGTGGGACATATGCACATGCAGTGGTTTAGCGATTCGATTCAAAATGGCCGACTGGCAGCCATCTTGTTTTTTGAAAATGTTGTATTTTGGACATGCTTTGTCAGTTTTCATTCAAACTTGGTACATAGATTATACATGTTAGGATACATGTCCATGATGATTTATTTCACAATTGGATCAAAGATGGCCGACTGGCAGCCATCTTGTTTTTTTGAAAATGTCGTATTTTGGACATGCTTTGTCAGTTTTCATTCAAATTTAGTACATAGATCATACATGTTAGGATACATGTCCCCGACCGTCCGTGAGTTCCTGAGTTTGTCTGTCCGACCGTCTGTGTGTCCGTCTGTCCGTGTGTCAGTCTATCCAACGTCATATTTCAGAATCCTGTGGACCGATTCCGTTCATTCTTTGCATGTGCCTAGTACCTTATGTGGGACATATGCACAGGCAGTGGTTTAGCGATTCAATTCAAAATGGCCGACTGGCAGCCATCTTGTTTTTGAAAATGTTGTATTTTGGACATGCTTTGTCATTCAAACTTGGTACATAGATTATACATGTTAGGATACATGTCCATGACAATTTATTTTGCAATTGGATCAAAGATGGTCGACTGGCAGGCATCTTGTTTTTGTTTTTTTATGCAGTATCTTGGACGTGCTCTGTCAATTTTCATTCAAATTTGGCACATACATGTACTTTATACATGTTAGGATGCATGTCCATGACAATTCGTTTCAAAATCTGGTCATGGATGTCTGATTGACAGCCATCTGACTTTTTGGCCTTACTACTATATTTCCACAATTTATGTACCATTTTCATATACGTATTTGGCACACACATCATACATATCAGTGTGTTTCATAATCCGATCAAAGATGGCTGAATACGACTGTTTTATTT